GACGGTAGGTGCAACGCTGAGATCCGAAAACGGATTTGGATGGCCAAGGATTCATTCCAAAAGCTGGGCAGCGTACTGCGAGACAGGAGGATTTCTTTAGTGACAAAGAAAAGAGTACTGAGCTGCTACGTAACATCTGTCCTCCTATACGGCAGCGAATGTTGGACGGTCTCCTCAAAGATGAAGAAGAGACTCAAGGCGGCAGAGATGTGGTTCTACAGAAGGATGCTCAGGATATCATGGAGCGAGCGTGTGAGCAACGATGAGGTCTTGGAGAGGATGCAAACAAGGAGGAAGCTTATAATTAACATAAGGAAGAGGCAGATGAAATTTTTTTGGATACGTAATGAGAAAGGAGGGCCTGGAGAAACTGATACTCACAGGGCGGATAGATGGAAAAGTGACAAGGGAAAACAACGCATGACATACCTGGCGGGCTTAAGCAAGTAGATGGCAGAACGTGGTCTGGAGGAGTTTGCAGAGGCACGAAATTTATTGAGAGCTACAAGGGATAAGGGGAGAGCCATGATCGCCTACGTCCTGAAAGGACACACAAAGAGAAAAGAAAATAAGACATTTGGTTTCAGAATAAATTTTGACATGCAATCCCAATGCATATACTTAGTAAAATTTAAACGAGAATATGAAAATTAAGCCAAGGGGATTTTATTCTAGGATTTATGTTGCAGACGTGAGAGAAGCGATGCATGGGGAATTGTTTCACGCGATAACAACATTGAATATGGTGATAATTGTATACATTAAATTAATATAAATGATGATAATTCTTCATCCCATTAATTCGGACAGAATTTACTTTTAAGCGATTTAAATCTATTAGTTATCAGTACTTCAGAAGAGACCCCGTTTTCTATTCCACTATTTCATATTTTTACTGATAGAACAGGCCAAGCGAATTCAACGGAAACGTATCGCGCTAGTTTACTCCATGTTTCAAATGTAAGAAGAAAGGTGCCTTTAATCTCGGCAGCTGCTACGTTGTCGCACAGACTCCTGCATGTAACGCGTCCTGGGTAAGACGATAAACTACATCCGCATCCTTGGTAAGACGATAAACTACATCCGAGTCTTGGGTATGACGATAAACTGCATTTTCGTCCTGGGTAAGACGATAAACTGCATTTTCGTCCTGGGTAAGACGATAAACTACATCCGCATCCTGGGTAAGACGATAAACTACATCGGCGTCCTGGGTAAGATGATAAATTACATCCGCGTCCTGGGTAAGACGATAAACTACATCCCCGTTCTGGGTAAGACGATAAACTACACCCCCCTCCAGAGTAAGACGATAAACTGCATCCGCGTTCTGGGTAAGACGATAAACTGCATCCGACATGAAGGCCTTTGATCAGGAGGTTTTGAGGAGCGTGGAACCACCTCTTAACTGCTGGTGTTCCCAGGTGCCTCCTGACCAGGGGTGGTCATTTTTAGGCAAATAGTTAACCCCCAAACTGGTGTCAAAACGTGTAAAAATACCTTTTAATGCCAGCAGTAAATTTTCGAAAAAAATTATTACCAGCACTAATGTTTTGTAAAAAATTATTACCAAAAATATATTTTTGAAAAAAAAAATATTACTAGCAATATATTTTTGAAAAAAAAGAAATTACCAGTAATCCATTTTTGGGGAAAAGAAATACTTTTTGAAATTAATATTACCAGCAATAAAAATTTTGTCGGCATTAAATAACCCATTGAGGTGTTGATATACCGTAAAATCAACCAAACCAAAATCCTGCGTATAGTATTACCTTTTGTAGTCACGTGTCAACCATTACCTATCATCCTTATCCTCACACTCCATCATCGTCTCTTCCGTTCATACCACATACCTCATTCAACATTATTATCTCCATTGTTAACCTCGACCTTGATTCACTCTATTCTTGTCTTAGGCGATATTTAGGATTAAAGAAAACATATTCTAATATACCTATATTTTCTATAAATACTTTCGTGGTAATTGTTCTGATAGACTTTACTCCATGGCTGAAGTAAAGCGCATTAGTAGATTGACAGTAAGGTCTCATCATTTTACCGTTGAAATTCCTAAATGTAACCGTAAGTTCTATGCTAATAGTTTCTTCTATCGTACCTCACACTTGTGGGACTCTTTTTCCGGTTTCTTTATACAGGAGCAACTATAATCTGGATTGATTGATTTGATTTTTGTGGCTTGTCGACTTTTTGTAGGTTATTTAAAGCTAGAAAATATTTTTAGATTATAAGAATTATTTGGAATGATAATAATGATTTAGTGATAATTAGACATCTGCTAATTTCGATAAGACACCTATAGATATTCAAGATTTTGGTTCCTTGTAGATTTGCCCAAGAAATACTGCTAGGAGTTCCAAGATTGTTGATGTTCCCTAGTTATAAATAGTTAGTTACTTTATATCCTGTGTCATAAATAATGAACAATTTAATCCTGAGGAATGACGTAAAATAACATATCTGAATCGCTGTTTGGTTTCAGTGAATAAAAAAGAAAGAAAGGAAGAAAAGAAAAAAATAGAGTTGGCGATAACGCTCTAATGTGTTTAACGTCTGCTTCAGTGAAATAGAAATAGTCATTTCAAGTCTTTTCATCTTTATTTTTACCCGCTTACTTCTTTAAATAATGACCTTCATTCATATTTATGTTATTGTAATATTTGGTTAAAGTTGTTAAGCTCTAATATCAAACGATGTGATAGGGGAAGTTCTATAGGTATTTTATAGTCGTAGAACTCACAAAGAATTTATTCAATCATTAACGTAAGAATTATGATTCATCAGAAAATTCAAATAGGAACTTTCTTGACGTCTGCTAATTTTGATTATATATAGATATTCAAGGTTGTGGTTCCTTGTAGTTTTGCTTAAGAAATACTGCTAGGAGTTCCAAGATTAACTTACACACCCAAATGCAAACGCATCTGTCAGGATGTGAGCGATTAGTTTATCAAAGTAGATTAATTAGTGGGTTTTCAAGCAAACACACACACCATTAATTTGGTTCTTCCTTTTATCTTCATATTATAATCATAATAACCCATAATAACTTCATATTATAATCATAATAACCCATAATAACTTCATATTATAATCATAATAACCCATAATAACTTCATATAATCTTCGTTAATTCTTCACTTCTCGACACATTGTCTTTGGTCTGTTCATTTATGTTTCAATCGCGACTCCATCTTCTTTTTCTTTCGATTTCATGTTTTAGATTCACGCGACCAGAGATGTTTTATATGAAGAACCATGTTTACTAGTCATAATGTTTATTTTCAATTGTTCTCATAGATATTGATTGATTAGTTTATTTACGGTTTATCAACTCTTTGCAGCTTAATTAAAGCCTGAAAATATTTTTAGATTGTAAGAATTTTGGGGGAAGGATAATAATGATTATTGATACAAGTCTTACTAATTAACCCATAGCTGGGGAGAGATTAGGTGGATTCATACGTTTCCTAAGGGTATTAGCGCATAATTTACTATAAGGAATCCAACTGGAATTGGAATTCGTCTCTCCGAATGACATTTCCAACTATCTCACAAATCAAAGCATGCAATATCTGGTATTCCCAAACAGTCACCCATGTATGTACTGTCCAGGTTCAGCGTTGCTTAACTTCGGTGTTCAAGGCTGTGTAACCGCAAATCAACTACGATCTTCAAAAATTTGAAATGCAATGTCAATGGTTATCTTCTGTCTTTTGAATTATTGTTCTTTTCTTGTTTTCTTCTTTTGATAGTGTTTTTTTTCTCATATTCTTTAAAGCTCAGTAAACTCCTTGCGCCTTAGTGACTTTATTGCCTTGCTTCGGTGTGAAATGATTAAAAATACCTATAATAATAACAAGTTTTTGATATTCTTAACCATTATAATTTCGAATTTTATTTATATTTTCATGTTGACCGCACAAAAATATTTAAATGTAGGTGGATTTACGCTGTCCCTACCAAGGTTTACTTATCAGCGGACATAATCTTAAAAGTAGAGTGGAACCTCGGTTCACGCATTTAATTACTTCCTGAAGGCCGTTCGTAACCCGAAATGTTCGTAAACCGAAAATATTTTTCCGAAAAAGAATCAATGTAGAGAAAAAAAATCACAGTACAATAAAATTGAAAAATAAAAACACGACACAACACACGAATGTATACAAAATGGCGGTCGACTCAGAAATTATTCCGTTATTGTTAACTCGGTTCGGTAATGTTGTTCGAGAAACGAAATTTTGTTCAACAACCGAGGTATTTTCATCTCGAATTTTCTTTTCGAAAAAGGATTTAATCGTGATGTTTGACGTTTGAGAACCGAGGTTGCTCTGTATAACATAACACTGTAGATGGCAGGCTGAGAAACTCAACGGGAATAACTTATAATGTTGAAATGGAAAGCAAGAAGAAAGGACATGTTATTAACTGTAAGAAGGCAATATGTATTGTGAGCAACAAAATAAAGAGCAGCATGTACAGCGTGCGTTGGGTAAATTATCGCCATTCTATATTTTTACTTTCGCGCATGCGTGTTGCTTGTTTTTGATTTTGTCGACCGAAAAGTATAATAGTGTCAGTTGAGCACCGATTGTGAGAAAAAGAGCACTGTGACGCAATTCACTTCACTAGAAATTTGGAAACTACATGCTGTACTACTTGGCATTCGCGCCGGTAGCTTCAATACGAACATTTCAGAGTTTTGGGGTGTCAATCTGAAGACAGTGCAGAGGATTCAATTGCTTTGCAGGTTATTTAATGTCTGAAAATATTTTTAAATTTTAAGAATCTTTTTTTCTTTTTGAAGATAATAATGATTTAGTGATACAATTCTTACTAATTAACCTATAGCTTGGGGGAGAAGAGTCGGATTCATACCTTTTCCCAAGGATATTTTCACGTTGGCGAATATAACAAGCCGAACTGGAATTGGAACTGTTCTCTGATTTGAAATTCCGTGCCATTATCTATTACACCACCCGCATATTTCCCAAGCGGTCACCCGTTTAGGTACTGACCACGCTCTATGTTGCTTAACTTCGGTGATCGTACGGAAACCCGTGTTTCAACATGATATGGCCGTAAGCCACGAGAGATGAAGATTAAGCTTTTCTAGTTCTGCTGTATTTTCAATTGCATTCAAACTTACATTGTAAGTAAAATTCAGTAATAGTAGACACAAATCCAACGGTAATATTCAGCTAAAACAAGTATTGGTTATGGCGGGGTATCGTAGCTGGGTATCGAGAGATGTTATTTTATTCTAAATTTGGGTGATAAGGTAGCTAAGGCTACGTGTGTGTCACACCTGGATACCTGGTAACACCCCAATACTGAGTGGATGGGATTATTCGACCTGAAGGTATTTCTTATTGGGTTCCACCTGCAAGCTTTGTACTGTTTTTATTCAAAGCTGGTCACCATATCGTGCACATTTGGCTGCGCTGCATGTGCCTGGTATACCCTTTTGTGCATATTGAGATTCGTATATTTGTTCCTCAGCGTCCCTCTGCTGGCCTTTTTTTTCACGCAATAACAATAATGATAATAATGATAATAATAATAAAAAGTTGTCAAAATACAAGGAGTTTGAAATAGAAATCTCGAAAATGTGGCATATGGGAACATCAACAATCTCCCCTTTTTTTGTCAGTGGAAAGTGTCATGATGCCATTTCTAACCTTAGGTCCCTGGGCGGGACTCGGAAAGAAATGTGTAAACGCCAGAAATCAAAGAAAATAAAAACAATGATAATAATAATAATATCAGCGATTCCAGTTGTAATAGGTGTCCTCCAATAGACTCATTGAAGGGATTCTTGGCAGTCAATGGCTTAAAGAAATATAAAACATTGTACTCACAAACACAGCCTATATCTTACGAAGGTCTTTAGGTAAAATGTGTGTGATCTTAGTTTTAGTTTTATTTATTTATTTATTTTTTTACATATTGTACATGGCAATAAAGATGAGGACAACAGTACGAACAATGTAAATAATGGTATCAAATGACAATTGGAAAAAAATCTTACACTTTGCCGACGCGTTTCGTCTTCCGACTTTTTCAAGGCAAAAATGAAATCGAAATGTTTTTGTTGTTATAATTACATTAAAAATCCAAATTTAAAAAGATAGACGCTCTGTCTCAGCCTTTTTTTCTGGTTAATGTAAATTAATTAATGTAAAAAAGAAATAATAATAATAATAATAATCCCTTACTATAAAGGTAATTATCTACTGCAGAAAGAAACTGCAACCTCTTGCTGGAAAATCTGCCTAAACTGTCATAAAGCGAGATGTGACGTGTATCACGTATGACACTTAACTGAGTCACTAAATCTCCGTTGAAATGTTTTCATTTTAATGCCTCATCGTTTACAATTGACTGTCATCTTCTTCTGGGCTTCATTTCAAGTCAGCATCCATGAAACACTTAAGTTTTACACTGTCAAATAATCCTTAATTCCTTTCTATTTCCAAAATACTGCTCCAGTGGCCGAGTAACACGTCAAATTCCTCAGAACCTTAATATTTTACCGTCCTGGGTACGACGCTAAAAGGTTTCTGATCGGGAGATGACGTGGAATCATATAAGTGAATATAACGAATCCAACGGGAATTCGAACTCAGCTCTCAGATTAACAATTCCGTGCCATTAACAATCACACCACCTTCACATCTAAGCTTACAGCACCTGGTATTCCTAAGATGTCACCCGTCTAGATAGGAGCTAGGAAGATCTGTCCGATAACGGATTTCGTTGTTTAAGCAAACCAGAAAATAAAATTGAAAGAAACTAATTAAATCTTGCAAAGAAATTAGAAAAAATAAGAAAAAATCGGAAGGAAAAAAGGTTGTGCCGGTCATTGTTGGAGTACTCGGAACCAAAGAGGTTTTTAGCAGGCACGAAATCAAGGGAAGAATTATGACGATATAGACGACATTATTTCTGAAAATATCCCATTCCCGCTCGTTTCCGAATATATCCGTCTGATACGTTGGTTAGTTAGTTCCAGTTGCAGGTGCATCCTCTGGCATATGTATGCTTTTTCAACACCCACAGGGAGAACCTGTGATTTATACTGCAACTCTGCTGAACGTGTCAAGTTACAATTTTCTGGAAGAGAGTGCGTGCTAGCGTGATCATTAACTGAACAAGACCAGGATACAGATACATCTCGGACACGATGGCTTGTGACATCGTGCTAGCCCAACCATTGACGGCTCTTCTGAACAGTTTTTCTACTCAATTTCAATCACAAGGCCTGGGTCAACACGTGGTATGCTTTTCAAAGACTTTCCAAATGTCACTAAATAACATCAACAAGTTGACTAATCGACCGAATAGAGAGAGAATTTGGAGAGAAACATCTAAGTACACAATCTGATGCAGATGTTAAGATTATGTTTGAAAAACACCAGCTACTTATGGTGAAAATATTCAATGATTTAAAAATAATCATACATCATCGAGGTCGACCGTATTCAGAATCATCGCGTCAATGCCTGCTACACCAGGGATTCATTCAGTTTTAAATTGAGAGTTGTCCTTCTCCTAGACCAGTTGCCATCCAAGGCTATAGAACCCAGTCTGTCCTTCTATTTTATCCATAGCTAGGGGGAAAAGAAGAGGATTCATACCTTTCCCAAGCGTATTAGCACATAAGTGAATGTAATGGATCCGATTGGAATTCGAACTCGGCTCTCTGTTTCCTCAATCGGAGCTGCAATCCATTACTCTACTGTGTCTCTATATTATATCGTGGGCTCTCCCATCGTAGATCGACGCGGGCCGTTGACTCGCGCCTACCAGGGATCCTATAATAATATTAATAATACATCACAATACCCACGGACAGAACAATCAAAGCCATTCGCCCTGACACCGTGATCAAAGACCGCACAAAAATATAATTAGCTTTCTTATTGACATGGAAGTTGTTACAGACTGCGATATATCTTTGAAGATGTTCAAAAACCTATCAAATACAATGACCTTGAAGTGGAAATACTAAAAAAATATGCCCCATGAAGACCTCAGTAATTCCAATTTTGGTTGGAACCGTCAGTTTGATTTGAAAAAGGTTTTTAGATTCACTGACGTGATCCCTGGAAGTCCATGCCTTAAAGAAATACAAAAAGATTGTACGCAAGTACACCTTACGAAAGGCTTTATTCTTATAAAATATGTGTGCGGTTAGGTTTCATTTTTATTTTTATTTTTTGGCAAAAATGCCCGGTGGGAAATATGACGTCATTTGGGTTCTTACCTCGCTGGTTGGGACCCGGAAGGAAATGAGTATGCAACATAACTCACAGGAAATAATAATAATAATAATAATAATAATAATAATAATAATCATCTGCACAGGAAAATATGCAACTTCTACAGGAAGGAAACTGAAAGAAACTGGTATGAACACCACCCAGACCCGGTTACGGAGATAGGACCTGTTATAATTCTATGGGACTGCACAATACCCACTGACAGAACAATCAAAGCCAACCGCCCAGACATTGTTATTAAAGACCACAAACAAAAACGGTGCCTCCTTATTGATATGACTGTCCCTGTAGACTGCAAGGTATCTTTGAAAATATTCAAAAAGCTGTCAAAATACAAGGACCTTGAAATAGAAATCTCAAAAATGTGGCACATGGGAACATCAACAATCCCTGTTGTAGTTGGAGCCCTAGGATTGGTTGGAAATATTCCACTAGACTAATTGAAGGGATTCCTGGAAGTCCATGCCTCAAAGAGAGAAAAAAATTGTTCTGACAAGTACAGCCCACACTTTACGAAGGGCTTTATCTATGCCATGATGCCATTTCTAACCATCAAAGGAAATAAAAATAATAATAATAAAAGCAATAGTTATTCCGTGTATTTTACCACAGCTAGGAGCTGAGAATGAGCAAGTGAAAGTCGAATGGGATACAACTATCTTGACTGACAAGCGCTAGGAGAGCACATTGTACTCAAGAACAGCCAAAACTGGAATCTGATAGACGTTGCGTTCCTTCGCATTGGCAAATCGAAGAAATATAGCAAGCATCAGCGCAAGTGTTGTCCCCTTTGTGGTTGGCGAATTCGTCATTATTTCCAGGAATCTTTCTTCCTCTCAGGACGCCTTAGGGGATACCTGAGATCATTGGCGTGGGTGGCAGTACTGCTTGGAACAGCTCATGTGCTGAGGAAAATTCTGTGTCTCTGAGTTGTGCGTAGGAGCTGAGTGAATCATTGTCACCCAACCGAAACATCTACAGTCGGAGAGGATATCAAATAGTAATAATTTGTATGGCACCTCATCTGGTTGGGTTTTCACATGAAAAAAAAAAAACAAAACCTGTTGTCTCTTTAAGTCTTTGGTTAAGATTTTGTGCCAACTCATATTAAACCAAGTAAACGCAAAACAGCAACAATAACAATAATAATAATAATAATAATAATAATAATAATAATAATACATTGTTAAAACTGCATCTGTTGAGGCGTTGTGTGTTAATCGATGAATTTAATTGCTTCTATGCAACCCGTTTCTAATCATTGATTAAATGAAACCGAATTCAAATTGAATTCGTTTTAGGAAAGGAAGAAACGTATTTCTGGATTCTTGTCAATAAAAGAATTTGGACCAATCTAAAACCAGGCACATAATGGGGATTCACGAAAAGAAGAAAAAAAAAGGAATAAGTCATGAAGAGAAACAAAAACTGGTCAATCGACACACACACATAAACACACACACACACACACAAAAAATATATATATATATATATATATATATATATATATATATATGAAGAAATATAGTTTTAAGGTGTGCTATATTTATGGAATAAAGTGCTCAATATCAGAGATAGAGCGGGTGTAAATATAAAAGTGAATATTGAAGTCAACACTTAGAGGCGACAGGCTGTTTCATGCTAGACGCAATCGTCAGGCCACGAGTGTTGTTTTTTTCTCGGCTATTTATATATACGGGTCAGTGGTGCATTGTGGGTAGTCTATTTGTCGGTTATTTTGCCGGAAGTCGTTTATTTGTTTATTTATTTGGGTTAATTTATTTTGATTGTTTTTATTTA